CTTTGATTAATGAGCTTTGATCAGTGGTTGTTGATCAATGGTCATGAGAATTTGCATATTGATGATCAAGGAACTGACCTCCCAGTCCATTGTTCCTTCAGTGGGCTGGTTTCAGTCATTATGCAAGCATAGTGTTTATAAGATTGGGGAAACCTGCAGTCAGCTGACACTGAAGAACTCACTTGAGTGACGAAATGTTTCTCCCACTGAAAACGCTACGTCCAGATGAACAGAATCAACTTTTGGGAAAATGAGAAAACCTTTACAACCTTTATGGTTTGCAGGTAGTTTTTCTTTTAAGAGGTAAAAGAAATATAAAACAGTAAGTATTCAATAAAAAAAGTAGTCAGATTGAAATCCAGACTATGAAGATTCACCTCCAAACTCCTGAGAAATGACAAAACTGTTTCTATAGTGGGTCTGTGGCTATATGACCCAATATCTATTCAAAACAATGTGAATGAACAAAGTGCTGTGAAAGTGAGTGTCATGAGTTCACTTACCAACGTTTGTAAAGACTCTGCTGTTGTTGAAGAAAACCTGATAGCCCTAGATGACCCTGAGATTAGAGATTTAGTTATAAACTTGTTTGTCTCTGCAGGAGGATCCACATTTGGACTTTCAAACAATTCAATCGTGATCATCTGTACTCACCAGTGTTGGAGAGAAGCTCTGCTGTAATGATATGAAAGGATCAGTGAGCTCAGTTTAATGTTCCTTTGAAAAGAAACTGATTCTGCTCACGTGAATTTCTATTGTTACATATGCTTTTAGTTTCAGCTTTTATTGTTATCCAACTTTGATCATTGGAATGTCATCCATCTAGAGTTTTGTGGCACATCTTACCACACCTTTGCTGCTGGTTGGTTTCCTGTGTTGGACAGAAGCCCTGCTCTGTTGTAGCAAAAGGCTCACCGAGCTCAGTTTCGTGTTCTTTTAAAGAAAAACTGGTTTTGCTTAGGTGTATCTCTCACTTTCATTTCTGAATTTTGACACTAAATTTCTCATCTCTCATTTGATGAGAGATACACTAGTGAAATTTTACCAGTAAACATTTAAATGTTGTCAGAGTCAACTGAA